ACCAATTTTCTTTATTGTGATTAATGTTGTACATCTCTTGCGTGACAATTCTATCAATATTTTATTGGTAATTACCTGCATTGCACAAAAAATCAACTGCATTAGACTTTTTTCATGTTTTGCATAGATTGTTAATGTTATTTTATTTTTATTTTTTTTTACAACACCTTCCTGGACCATGGACGGGGAAAAAGTGGCGAAGAAGAGGAAGTGGAAGAGGAGAGTTAAAAGTAAGAAAGGAAAGGACAGTACCCAGTGAAAGGAGAAATCATGCGTTCGAGTCCCTGAGGATGGCTGAGGTCTGGAAGGGCATCCGGGAGTGAAGGCGAACACCCAGTAAAAGGACTAGATGGGACGAGGTTGAGAAACATCCAGGGGAGACCTCGAAAGGAGTTCCGAAACCATTACACGAAATTGGCATCACAGTTAGCGAGGGTTCTCTGCTGGTCAAGATTGCGTGGTTCGCGATACCGCTGTTAGTCGTTATCTTGGGAATCAAGGTAAGTTTGGTTCAGGAAAAGGGGTTGTCTCTTGAGCTCTTCTGACTGTGATTTAAGTGATCGTTTTAATTGTGAATAAGTGGCCTATGAATATATATGATGTCGAGGGTGGGTGACTATGTAAACTTTTACTGTTGAAAATTGCTCAAATATTAGATTGGTAATTTTGATCAAATGGTTATACCTTTGGAATGGAGAAAATAACGTGCGAATACTTTAAAGTGGGCTTTTGGATCACATGGAGGCCACGAATGTGATTAGTAAGTAGTTTGTCTTTCTCTCTATTTTTCTCCCGCTAGCACTTACTCTTAAACATTTTCTTTCCCTTTCCCACCCCTTATCTCTCTTTCTCTCTCCCTCTCTCTTTCCCTCCCTCCTTCCTACTTCTTCATATAAATCACTATCAACCAGTATCATTCCACCTGCCTGCAACCACTAGCCAATGCACCGCATCTCCAAACAGGTGGATACGAGCATTGCATTTTGCCGTTTCTGCAACCTCTGCTGAGACTTCGCTGAACAAGAGCCAAAGTAAGAACTGACACAATATCTCGGTTCTTGGTTTAGGATTATGGCATTCGTATGTAGTATGTGAGAGTTTATTAATATGTTCACACACAGACACACACACACACACACACATGAATATTTACATACACACACATACATAAATATATACATATATGTGTATACATATACATACATATATTTGCTTGTTAAGCTGCTTGATTTAGTGTACGGCTTTGAGAGAGAGAGAGAGAGAGAGAGAGAGAGAGAGAGAGAGAGAGAGAGAGAGAGAGAGAGAGAGAGAAAATTAAATGACTTTATGCTTATTTTTCTTCTTTGAGGAAAAAAAAGCTATAAAGTAAAATATTACTAAAAATATTACTTATTCCTAAGTGTAGCTTATTCAATAAAAACATAGCTGTATATATATTATTTGTTATTATATGTCCTGTCCTATCTATTGTCTTTAAATCAATCTGTCTTTCCTCAGAAACATTTTTGATATACATTGCATATCAGATTGTATATATCTATTCAAAGACACACATAATAGGCACTTATAGATGCACTGCCATACACATGAACACACACACACAAAACAAACACACACACACACAAACAACAATAAATCAACCTACAAACAGACAGCAGAGGATCAACAGTAAGAACAGAAATGATAACAAACGCAAATGATGTGATGATATTATGTCATCAAGATAATTAATGATCGCCATATTGCCATCCTTAAAAAACAAAAACAAAAACAAAAAAACACACCTTTATCTCACGTACAAGTAAGTGACAATGTGCAAGGATATTGGGTCCCTTTTTATTGGAAGTAAAAAAAATAAATAATTAGTGATATTAGTAAAATGGTGAACATAATGATATATGAGTGATATTAGAATTAGTTGCTTTTACGGGAAATATAGATTTTTTATTTTCTTTTACCGAAATATATATAAGTATATACACATATAGGATTAGGAAAGGCATTTGCAATGTGCCTGTGATAAATGTATCTGCAGGATCAACTTGTTTTTTAATGTAATGAAAATTACTTACGTGAGCAATTTTCTTTATTGCAATTAATGTTATACATCTCTTGCGTGACAATCCAATCAATAATTTATTGGTAGTTACCTGCATTGCACAAAAAATCAACTGCATTAGATTTTTTTCATTTTTTGTATAAATTGTTAATGTTATTGTTTTTTTTTGTTTTTTTTTGCAACACGTTCCTGGATCATGGACGGGGAAAAAGTGGCGAAGAAGAGGAAGTGGAAGAGGAGAGTTAAAAGTAAGAGAGAAAGGAAAGGACAGTACCCAGTGAAAGGAGAAATCATGTGTTCGAGTCCCTGAGGATGGCGTCTGGAAGGGCATCCAGGAGGGAAGGCGAACACCCAGTGATTGGAGAGGGGACGAAATCATGCATTCGAGTCCCTGAGGATGGCTGGCGTCTGGAAGGGCATCCGGGAGGGAAGGCGAACACCCAGTGATTGGAGAGGGGACGAAATCACGCGTTCGAGTCCCTGAGGATGGCGTCTGGAAGGGCATCCAGGAGGGAAGGCGAACACCCAGTGATTGGAGAGGGGACGAAATCATGCATTCGAGTCCCTGAGGATGGCGTCTGGAAGGGCATCCAGGAGGGAAGGCGAACACCCAGTGATTGGAGAGGGGACGAAATCACGCGTTCGAGTCCCTGAGGATGGCGTCTGGAAGGGCATCCAGGAGGGAAGGCGAACACCCAGTGATTGGAGAGGGGACGAAATCATGCATTCGAGTCCCTGAGGATGGCTGGCGTCTGGAAGGGCATCCAGGAGGGAAGGCGAACACCCAGTGATTGGAGAGGGGACGAAATCATGCATTCGAGTCCCTGAGGATGGCTGGCGTCTGGAAGGGCATCCAGGAGGGAAGGCGAACACCCAGTGATTGGAGAGGGGACGAAATCACGCGTTCGAGTCCCTGAGGATGGCTGGCGTCTGGAAGGGCATCCAGGAGGGAAGGCGAACACCCAGTGATTGGAGAGGGGACGAAATCATGCATTCGAGTCCCTGAGGATGGCGTCTGGAAGGGCATCCAGGAGGGAAGGCGAACACCCAGTGATTGGAGAGGGGACGAAATCATGCATTCGAGTCCCTGAGGATGGCGTCTGGAAGGGCATCCAGGAGGGAAGGCGAACACCCAGTGATTGGAGAGGGGACGAAATCATGCATTCGAGTCCCTGAGGATGGCTGGCGTCTGGAAGGGCATCCAGGAGGGAAGGCGAACACCCAGTGATTGGAGAGGGGACGAAATCACGCGTTCGAGTCCCTGAGGATGGCTGGCGTCTGGAAGGGCATCCAGGAGGGAAGGCGAACACCCAGTGATTGGAGAGGGGACGAAATCATGCATTCGAGTCCCTGAGGATGGCTGGCGTCTGGAAGGGCATCCAGGAGGGAAGGCGAACACCCAGTGATTGGAGAGGGGACGAAATCATGCATTCGAGTCCCTGAGGATGGCGTCTGGAAGGGCATCCAGGAGGGAAGGCGAACACCCAGTGATTAGAGAGGGGACGAAATCACGCGTTCGAGTCCCTGAGGATGGCTGGCGTCTGGAAGGGCATCCAGGAGGGAAGGCGAACACCCAGTGATTGGAGAGGGGACGAAATCACGCGTTCGAGTCCCTGAGGATGGCGTCTGGAAGGGCATCCAGGAGGGAAGGCGAACACCCAGTGATTGGAGAGGGGACGAAATCACGCGTTCGAGTCCCTGAGGATGGCGTCTGGAAGGGCATCCAGGAGGGAAGGCGAACACCCAGTGATTGGAGAGGGGACGAAATCACGCGTTCGAGTCCCTGAGGATGGCGTCTGGAAGGGCATCCAGGAGGGAAGGCGAAAACACACACACACACACACACACACACACACACACACACACACACACACACACACACACACACACACACACACCCACACAGACACACACACACACACACACACACACACACACACACACACACACACACACACACACACACACACACACACACGAATATTTACATACGCACACATGCATAAATATATATATACATATATGTGTATACATATACATATACATATACATATATATACACACATATATTTGCTTGTTAAGCTACTTGATTTAATGTACGGCTTTGAGAGAGAGAGAGAGAGAGAGAGAGAGAGAGAGAGAGAGAGAGAGAGAGAGAGAGAGAGAGAGAGAGAGAGAGAGAGAGAGAGAGAGAGATTAAATGACTTTATGCTTATTTTTCTTCTTTGAGGAAAAAAAGCTATAAAGTAAAATATTACTAAAATATTATTTATTCCTAAGTGTAGCTTATTCAATAAAAACATAGCTGTCTATATTATTTGTTATTATATGTCCTGTCCTATCTACTCTGTCTTTAAATCAATCTGTCTTTCCTCAGAAATATTTTTAATATACATTGCATATCAGATAATATATATCTATTCAAACACACACACACATAATAGGCACTTATAGATGCACTGCCATATACATGTACACACAACAAACAACACACAACACACAACACACAACAAACAACACACACACACACAACAAACAACAAACAACACACACACACACACACACACACAACAAACAACAAACAACACACACACAACACACAACAAACAACACGCACACACACACAACACACAAACAACAATAAATCAACCTACAAACAGACAGCAACAGAGGATTAACAGTAAGAAATGATGACAAATGCAAATGATGTGATGATATTATGTAATCAAGATAATTAATCGTCATATTGCCATCCTTAAAAAAAAAAAAAAAAAATGCACATCTTTATCTCACAAACAAGTAAGTGACAAAGTGCAAGGATATTGGGTCTTTGTATTTGAATTTTATGCCCCTTTTTTATTGGAAGTTAAAAAATAAATAAATAGTGATATTAGTAAAATGGTGAACATAATGATATATGAGTGATATTAGAATTAGTTGCTTTTATGGATATAGATTTTTTTATTTTTCTTTACCGAAATATTTATAAGTATATAAAATGTTTCTGTGATAAATGTATCAAGAGGATCAACTTGCTTTTAAATGTGATGAAAATTACTTACATGAGCAATTTTCTTTGTGATTAATGTTATACACCTCTTGCGTGACAATCCTATCAATATTTTATTGGTAATTTACCTGCATTGCACAAAAAATTAACTGCATTAGATTATTATTATCATTTTTTATTTATTTATTTATTTTTGCATAAATTGTTAATGGTAAATATATATATTTTTCGCAACACCTTCCTGGACCATGGACGGGGAAAAAGTGGCGAAGAAGAGGAACTAGAAAAGGAGAGTTAAAAGAGAGAAAGGAAAGGGCAACACCCGGTGAAAGGAGAGGGAATAATGTTCGAGATCCTGAGGATGGCTGGCGTCTGGAAGGGCATCCAGGAACGAAGACGAAGACCCAGTGAATGGTGAGGGGAGGAAATGCGGTCGAGCCCCTGAGGATGGCTGGCGTCTGGAAGGGCATCCGGGAGGGAAGGCGAACACCCAGTGGAAGTATTGTATGGGACGAGGTTGAGGAAACATCATAGGGGAGACATGGAAAGGAGTTCCGAAACCATTACACGAAATTGGCATCATAGTTAACCGTTTTCTTGTGAACCAAGGTAAGTTTTGTTCAGGATATGGGGTTATCTTTTGAGCTCTTCTGTCTGTGATTTAAGTGATCTTTTTTAACTGTGAATAAGTGTCCTATGAATATATATGATGTCGAGGGTGGGTGACTCTGTAAACTTTTACTGTTGAAAAGGTTATTTCACGTAGCATTTATGAATTAATGACTGTCATAATCGTCCAAGTACTGGATTGGTAATTTGGATCAAGTGGTTTGAAATGGAGAAAATAACGTGTGAATACCTTAAAGTGGGCTTTTAGATCACATGAAGGCAATGCATGTGATTAGTGATTAAGTAGTTTGTCTGTCTCTCTATTTTTCTCTCGCTAGCACTTACTCTCACCCATTTTCTTCCCCTTTCCCACATTCTCTCTCTCTCTCTCTCTTTCCCTCCCTCCTTCCTACTTCTTCATACAAATCACTACCAACCAGTATCACTCCACCTGCCTGCAGAAACTAGCTAATACACCGCATCTCCAAACAGGTGGATACGAGCATTGCATTTTGCCGTTTCTGCAACCTCTGCTGAGATTTCGCTGAACAAGAGCCAAAGTAAGAACTGACACAATATCTCGGTTTTTGGTTTAGGATTATGGTATTCGTATGTAGTATGTCAGAGTTTATTATGTTCACACACACACACACACACACACACACACACACACACACACACACACACACACACACACACACACACACACACACACACACACACACACATATACATATACATACATTCGTGTGTGTGTGTCTTTATATGTGTATGTATATATATATATATATATGTAAATACTTATATATATATACATACAAACATACATAAGTGTATATACAAGTATATGTATACGTGTATTTCTATCTATATATGTATATACAAATATATATTAATATACATACAAATATATATTAATATACATACAAATATATATTAATATACATACAAATATATATTAATATACATACAAATATATATTAATATACATACAAATATATATTAATATACATACAAATATATATTAATATACATACAAATATATATTAATATACATACAAATATATATTAATATATATACAAATATATATTAATATATATACAAATATATATTAATATATATACAAATATATATTAATATATATACAAATATATATTAATATATATATGTATTAATATATATATATATATATATATAATATATATATATATATATATATATATATATATATATATATATATATATATATATATATATACATATATATATACACACAAATACACACACACATACATAAATATATATATATATATATATATATATATATATACATATATATAAACACACACATATTTGTATATGTGCATATATTTGTTTGTTGAGCTGCTTGATTTAGTGTACTGCTTTGAGAGAGAGAAAAAAAGAGAAAGAGAGAAAGAGAGAAAGAGAAAGAGAAAGAGAAAGAGAAAGAGAAAGAGAGGGTGGGGGGTAAATTAAATGACTTTATGCTTACTTTTCCTCTTTGACGAAAATAATAGCTATAAAGTAAAATACTACCAACCATTTGAAAAAAAGTGTAACTTAGTCAATAAAAAATCAGCTGTCTATATTGTTATTATATGTCCTGTCCTATTTATTTTGTCTTTAAATCAATGTCTTTCCTCAGAAATATTTTTGATATCCATTGCACATCAGATTGTATATATCTATTCAACGACACACATAATAGGCACTTATCGATGCACTGCCTTATACGTGCACATATGAAATATTTAAACCCACACCTTCATATAAATATGGACATAAATATAGATATAAACATTCAAACAAAACTACACACAGATATGTTTACATATGCACATAAGCATAAACAAACACCTATACATACACATAGACTGACATAACACACACACACACACACACACACACACACACACACACACACACACACACACACACACACACACACACACACACAACAAACAACACACACAACAAACACACACACAACAAACACACACACAACAAACACACACACAACAAACACACACACAACAAACACACACACAACAAACACACAACCTACAAACAGACAGCAACAGAGGATCAACAGTAAGAACAGAAATGATGACACATGCAAATGATGTGATGATATTATGTAATGAAGACAATTAATGATCGCCATATTACCATCCTTAAAAAAAAAAAGAAAAAAAATACACACCTTTATCTCACGAACAAGTAAGTGAAAATGTAGAAGGATATCTGGTCTTTGTGTTTGAATTTTCATGTAGATTTTAATCTAATGAAAAAAAAAATATATATATATAATAGTAATAATAATAATGCGATAGTGGAATATTATGATATATCAGTAATAGATGTTAGAATGAAATAGTGTTACGGGAAATATACATTTTAACATTTTTTATTTATTCATTTATGTTTTTTTTTGCCGAAATATTTGTAATAAGTATTAACTGCCTCATAGTTGGAGTATTGGGAATGCATTTTTTTTCCCGCAGATGTATTACATATGGGCTTAGTATTGATGCTATGCAATTCATATAAAAGGCATTTGCAATGTGTCTATGATTAATGCATTAATAGGATTAATTTGCTTTTGAATATCATCATAATTAATAATCCTCTTTATTGCAATTAATGTTATATATCTCTCGTGCAATAATCCCAATCACGTGCACGCTCATTGGTAATTCCCTACATTGCACTAATAATCAATTGCAATACTAGATCTTTCGAAATTATTATGATTAAAAACATATATATATAAATAAGCTCTTGATGTCAGTTATTGATTTTGTTTTTTATTTTATTTTATGCAATACCTTCCCGGATCATGGAACGGGGAAGAAGAAGCGAAGAAGAGGAAGTGGAAGAGGAAGAAAGGGAAGGGATGGAGAGGAAGACGAAGACGAGGGAGAGGACGGATGGCGGGACGAGAACGATGGAAGGGGAAAGAAGGCGATGAAGAGGAAGAGGAAGAGGACGATGAAGAGGAAAAGGAAAAGGAAAAGGAAGAGGACGAGGAGAAGGACGAAGACGAAGACAGGGAAGAGGCATGGGTGAAGGCGCGGAAGAGGGCGAGGAGGAGAGGACGAAGAGGAATAAGAACGAACGGGAGGACGAGAAAGAAGACGAGGAAAGGGTGAAGCGGAGGGAAGGGACAAAGTGGAGGACGAGAAACGGGAAGAGGACGAGAGAATCGAAGGACGAAGTGGAAGACGGAAAAGAGGGCGAGAAAAGAGGAAGATTGGGGAAGACGAGAACGAAGAACAGAGAAGGACAGAAAAGGATGAAGACGAAGACGAAGACGAAGACGGAGACGAGAAAGAGGACGGGTAAGAAGACGAGAGAGAGAGAGACGAAGAAAAGCGGACGAAGATGTTGGAGGGAATTGGAAGTGGAGAAGGTAAGGAAGAAAAATAGGAGGAAGATGGCGAAGAGGAAGAGGCAAGGAGCGAATACAAGGGCGAGGAGGAGAAACAGGATAAAAGACAATGAAGAGTGAGGACGAGAACGAAGAGGGGCGTGAAAGAGAGGCCAAGGAAGAAGGGAAGAAAGAGGAAGAGAAGGAAGAGGAGAAAGAGGAAGAGAAGGAAGAGGAGAAAGAGGAAGAGAAGGAAGAGGAGAAAGAGGAAGAGAAGGAAGAGGAGAAAGAGGAAGAGGAGAAAGAGGAAGAGAAGGAAGAGGAGAAAGAGGAAGAGGAGGAAGAGGAGAAAGAGGAAGAGAAGGAAGAGGAGAAAGAGGAAGAGAAGGAAGAGGAGAAAGAGGAAGAGAAGGAAGAGGAGAAAGAGGAAGAGAAGGAAGAGGAGAAAGAGGAAGAGAAGGAAGAGGAGAAAGAGGAAGAGAAGGAAGAGGAGAAAGAGGAAGAGGAGGAAGAGGAGGAAGAGGACGAGTGAGGACGAAAACAGGACGAGGGAGAGGGAGAGGAAAATACGAAGGGAAGAGGACGAAGAGGACGAGTGAGGACGAAAACAGGACGAGGGAGAGGGAGAGGAAAATACGAAGGGAAGAGGAAAGAACTGGAAAGAAGGAAAGGAAGATATAGAGAAGAAAAGAGAGAAAAGGTTAGTCAATAACCTCCACAACGAATTTTAGTTAGAATATTAGCCTGCATGATACATATTATTCAAAATTATAAAACATAAAAAAATATATAACATTGTATATAAAATATACAAAACCTCATATCAAATTAATATCAAATTTAGATCAAATAAATCAATTCACACAAACCATATAAAAAAAGTCATATTCAAATTAAAAAAATCATCTACCCTTATCTTTCACAAGAAATTAAAGTGATTCAGTCTCAAAATCCAACTCACAGTCAGAAGCAATTTTGCATTACGGGGAATAATAGAATAATAATCGAGAAATAATTATCCCGTGATTTTATCTCAATGAATCATTTGCAGCCCATTTTTACGAAGAATTCTTCAGGAAGGTTTGTGTTTTTTTTTTAATGCTTTATTCTCTGGCTTATAGTAACAGGAGTGATATTTATATAGAGAATTTAAAAGCTGCCGATGAAAATATATTTGTAAAGTAGATTTTTTTTTTTCGATATATATATATTTTTAAATATATTTTGATTCAATTATGGTTATTATTGTAATTATTATTACGATTATTATCATAGTCATTATTGTACTATTATCATTATTAAAGTTACTGTTATTATTGTTGTTGCGGTTTTCATTATTATTATGGCTCTCATTATCACTAACACTACTATTATTATCATCATGGTTATTACTGTTATTAGTATCATCATCATCATTACTATTACAATATCATTATTCTTATTATTAGTATCATTATTACTATTAATACTGTTGTCATTATTATTCTCACCATTATCATTATCTTTATTATCAATATTATCAACATTATTATCTATATCTACGTTCTCAGAGCTATTGCTATTACTGATGCTATTTATAGTAACGCTTCTAACGCTACTACTATAATGATTGCTATGATCACTGTAATAACACTAATGGTCTTTATAGCCAATGCCAATATAATGATCACAATTATTGAATATCAGACCATATCAAATCACTACTATTACGTTTACTGTCGTTTGTACCACTACTGCTATCCATTAGACGTTATCTTTCAATCATTTTTTTCGTCTTTCAATCATTATGAAAAGGAAAACATCCACAGTGAGATAATGAATATGAATCGTAACCGTTTCGAACTCTTCACGAGCAGTTCGAAACGTTACGATTCATATTCAACTCTTACTGTGGCTGTTTTCCTTTTTTTTCATCTTTGTTTACACGTTACCGTGTTTGTGTCATTCATCATTATCTTAACTAATACGTGTTCTTAACCCCCATGCTCTCTTATGGAAGAGGAGATGGAAGAAACATGGTTTGGTCGGAATCGGATCCAAAATCAGCTGTTCACTTAAGAGCGACTTTTCTCTGCGATGCGAAGTGTAAGTGGATAGATAGTGGATAGATGGTAGATAGGTGGGGATAGGGAGAGGGGGTAGTGAAGGGGCAAATGAAGGGGGAACTGAGTGGGAAAGGGAGGGATATGAGTGGATTAATGGACAATGATTTTAAGCAAAGAAAGGGTAAACATGAGTTAACGATCAGGATAAGTGGACAGAAGGGGACAACAGCGAGCATGGGATTGGGGGAGGGGCATATGAGGGGAGAGTGAGAGGGTATGAGGGAGGGAGTGAGGGGGCATATGAGGGGATAGTGAGGGGGCATATGAGGGGAGAGTGAGAGGGTATGAGGGAGGGAGTGAGGGGGCATATGAGGGGATAGTAGGGGGATATGAGGGAGTGAGAGGGTATGAGGGGATATGAGAGGGTATGAGGGAGTATGAGGAGGTAGCGATGGAATAATATGAGGATAATGAGGGGAATAGTGAGGGGATATGAGGATAGTGAGGGAATAATGAGGGGATGCGGGGTTTTCTGGCGAGGGGAAAGAAAGGTTATTGGAGGATTATGGGGCCTGGTGTGCGGGAAGGTCTTTGTGAGAATTATTTATTTTCTTCTCTCTCTCTTTTGTACTTTCTTAACGTCGCTCTCTCTGTCTCTGACAATCTCTCTCTCCCTCTATCTCATTATCTCTATTATCTCTAACCCACTCTCTCTCTCTTTCTCCCACTCTATCTATCTTTAACTCACTCTATCTTTCTTTCACTACCTTTTTCTCTCTAACTCTAACCCACCCTCTCTCTTTCTTTTTCTCACTATTTCTGTGTATCTCTAATCCTCTCTTTTTCTCTTACTCTCTTTGTCTATCTCTAACCCACTCTCTCTCTTTCTCTCGCCTTTCTTACTTTCTCTTTCTCTCTCTCTTGCTCCTTCCTCCTGTTCCCTCCTCTCCCATTCACCATCTTCCTTTCTTAACCCATCGTTATTTTAGTAAACAGCCTGAAATTTTCTTTTTAAATTCTGAGCGAAATCACCTCCCCCCCCCCAAAAAAAAAAAAAAAAAAAAATCTAAAAAAAAAATCGGACTGAGAGATATATATAATTACTTGTTATTTTACCATATACATTTTTATCATCATTATCCAATAGAATGGACTGAAATACAAATCCTTTAATGATGGGTCATTTAACGTCGATAAAGCTTAATTGCTCAATCTAATTAATATTCTATGAGGTAATAAACAAAAGTAAAAGTCAATCACAGATTACAGACAACACGAAATTGATTTGTAAAAATTGTCGGTGATGAAATTAACCAATTTAATTCGATAATGGAATTAGAAGATATATTAATCAACATCACTCCACAGGCGATGAACTCCTGGCG